TTAATTGCACATAACATGTAAACATTCACAGTGCAGGGAGGAAAAAGTATGTGAGGCCCTAGCTTAATGACTTCTCCCAGAGCTAATTGGAGCCAGGAGTGAGCCAACCTTGACTCCAATCAGTGTGATGATATTGGATGTGTTGCTGACAGCTGTCCTGCCCTTAAAAAAAACACACAGCTGTTTTGTGTTTACTGGTTTCAAGAAGCACTGTCTGATGTGAACCATGCCTCGCAGAAAAGAGCTCTCAAAGACCTACGATCAGGAATTGTTGACTTGCATGAAGCTGGAAAGGGTTACAAAAGTATCTCCAAAAGCCTTGATGTTCATGTGTCCACGGTAAGACAGACTGTCTACAAATGGAGAAAGTTTAGCACTGTTGCTACTCTCCCTAGGCGTGGTCGTCCTGTAAAAATGACTGCAAGAGCACAGAGCAGAATGCTGCATGAGGTAAAGAAGAATTCGAGTGTCAGCTAAAGACCTGCAGAAATCTCTGGCACATGCTAACATTTTTGTTGACACATCTACAATAAGGAAAACATTAAACAAGAATGGAGTACATGGGAGGACATCGCTGAGGAAGCCATTGCTGTCCAAAAAGAATATTGCAGCACATTTGAAGTTTGCAAAAGAGCACCTGGATGTTCCACAGCACTACTGGAAAAATATACTGTGGACAGATGAAACCAAGATTGAGTTGTTTGGGAAGAACACACAACACTATGTGTGGAGAAAAAAAGGCACAGCACACCAACATCAAAACCTCATCCCCACTGTAAAACATGGCGGAGGGGGAGCATCACCTTACTTTGCTTGTGGGCTCCATCTTGCACCTCCTACATTTGGGTGATTTTTGGGATATAAATGATAATAGTTTCTGTCCTCTCAGGCCTTAATTGACAGGTAAGAGGATAAATTTGTCTTGACAAATTAGTTTATCTTTTTTAACCTTTAAATGATTCTCAGTAATGTTCTCCACCATCACAGCATAATGTTTACCTATAGTCTGCTCAGTAAATTCGTTTTTTCTTTTCCTCCACTTAGTAAAAGAGAGAGACCAATGGAAACATATCCACAGTGCAATTTCTGCTGATAGCAAAGCTGCAATTTGCAAATATTGTGTGGAAAAAATATTATTTTCTAAATGCTACAAGGATGACAAAACACATCCTTGCATGCCAGAGGTGCTCTAAGGACATTAAAAAATACTTTATGGAATTACGTGATGGGGACCATAATGAAAATGCAAGTTCTCATTTCAGAAACACTCTGTTTCTGCTGCTTCTGGATCATCACAAAGTGTTTCTTCACCAGCAGCATCTAAGGAAGTGTTGCAAACCACTACCTCACAAAAATACACAATACCTTAATTTATAGATAAAATAACACCTGAAAATCAGAAGAACATTGATCAAGCTCTTGCAAGATCAATATTTGCTTCCAGAGGCGTCACAGGGGTTAATGTCACCTGGTGCGGTAAAACATGGTGTCATATATAACACTGATATCTGTACACTGAGTGCTATTCCCTATATGTAATACTGATATCTGTACATAGAGTGGCATAACTAACAGTGTATAGATATCACGGTATTATTAGAAATAGGGAATAGCACCTGGTGAATGGGCACTGGGCAGGAATACTCAGAATTGCTGGCAGTGACATTACTAGCTCTTGGGCTGGCTATCATCACTGTCAATGTCACTGACCTGCTGTACACAATGCAGGTTTCTTCCAATGACTAGTCCGCTGCGCAGTGCACTCTCTGCTGGCAGGGATGCCATTGTTCACTGCCTCCTACGGGCTTAAACCTCCTCTTTTCTATGTGATAACCTGTGGGCACCTCCAATGGCAGACCAAATCTCTCATGGGGCACCCTACTGACCCCAGGCCCTCGGGAAGTGCCCAGATGGTCAGTCCGCCCCTGGTGTCACCTGGGTGTGATTCGCAGTCCCCGCACCCCTATAGCGATGCCACTGTATGCTTCTGGATCAGCATTGTCAGTAACTGAAAATGCATATTGGCAGTGAGTTTTTAAATTATTTGAGGGAAAGGGGGGTGGTTACCTGTTCTCATGTATAGTTGAAATGTTCTTAACATATACAGTACTTTGTTATTTGTAGTATTAAAAAAAAAAAAATAAAAAGTACATTTAAAAATTTAAAAGCAAGTTTAGTTTATTTACGTAATAAGTCGTACTTTTATTTCAGGCATAATACTTTTATATACATTACATTTCATGTTCCCAGTGTAACAAAATGACTTTCAATTTGTAAAATTACTCCATGCTAAATTTCTTTTTATCAATTTTTCCATTATTTTTGGATAAAAACAGGGAAAAAAAACCGTTTTTTTTCCCATGGCTTAAAAATGTTCAAAAATGTTTCATCTCTACGCAAGACCAGTCCTTCTGGCTTCCCTCTCTCCCGCTCCACGGTCTTATGGTCTTGTGCAGTGGACTGTTCCTGACGTCATCACGCCCATAGACCAGCTCTGCATGTGAAGACATCAGGAATGGTCTACCACTGGACATGGGTGAGTATCATTTTCCGGGGGATCAACTGAGTATAGGCTCTGTGTTCACTCCTAGAAAACACAAGCAGTTACAGTCAAGTCCATAAATAATGGGACATCAACATAATTCTAACATTTTTGGCTCTATACACCACCACAATGGATTTGAAATGAAACTAACAAGATGTGCTTTAACTGCAGACTGTCAGCTTTAATTTGAGGGTATTTACATCCAAATCAGGTGAACGGTGTAGGAATTACAACAGTTTGCATATGTGCCTCCCACTTGTTAAGGGACCAAAAGTAATGGGACAATTTGGCTTCTCAGCTGTTCCATGGCCAGGTGTGTGTTATTCCCTCATTATCCCAATTACAATGAGCAGATAAAAGGTCCAGAGTTCATTTCAAGTGTGCTATTTGCATTTGGAATCTGTTGCTGTCAACTCTCAAGATGAGATCCAAAGAGCTGTCACTATCAGTGAAGCAAGCCATCATTAGGCTGAAAAAACAAAACAAAACAAACCCATCAGAGAGATAGCAAAAACATGAGGCGTGGCCAAAACAACTGTTTGGAACATTCTTAAAAAGAAGGAACGCTCCGGTGAGCTCAGCAACACCAAAAGACCCGGAAGACCACGGAAAACAACTGTGGTGGATGACCGAAGAATTCTTTCCCTGGTGAAGAAAACACCCTTCACAACAGTTGGCCAGTTCAAGAACACTCTCCAGGAGGTAGGTGTATGTGTGTCAAAGTCAACAATCAAGAGACTTCACCAGAGTGAATACAGAGGGTTCACCACAAGATGTAAACCATTGGTGAGCCTCAAAAACAGGAAGGCCAGATTAGAGTTTGCCAAACGACATCTAAAAAAGCCTTCACAGTTCTGGAACAACATCCTATGGACAGATGAGACCAAGATCAACTTGTACCAGAGTGATGGGAAGAGAAGAGTATGGAGAAGGAAATGGCACTGCTCATGATCCTAAGCATACCACCTCATCAGTGAAGCATGGTGGTGGTAGTGTCATGGATTGGGTATGTATCGCTGCCAATGGAACTGGTTCTCTTGTATTTATTGATGATGTGACTGCTGACAAAAGCAGCAGGATGAATTCTGAAGTGTTTCGGGCAATATTATCTGCTCATATTCAGCCAAATGCTTCAGAACTCATTGGACGCCACTTCACAGTGCAGATGGACAATGAACCAAAGCATACTGCATACTGCAAAAGCAACCAAAGAGTTTTTTAAGGGAAAGAAGTGGAATGTTATGCAATGGCCAAGTCAAATCACCTGACCTGAATCCGATTAAGACAAAACTGAAGGGAAAATGCCCCAAGAACAAGCAGGAACTGAAGACAGTTGCAGTAGAGGCCTGGCAGAGCACCACCAGGGATGAAACCCAGCGTCTGGTGATGTCTATGATTTGCAACCAAGTATTAAAAAGCGAAAGTTTGATTTATGATTATTATTCTGTCCCATTACTTTTGGTCCCTTAACAAGTGGGAGGCACATATGCAAACTGTTGTAATTCCTACACCATTCACCTGATTTGGATGTAAATACCCTCAAATTAAAGCTGACAGTCTGCAGTTAAAGCACATCTTGTTTGTTTCATTTCAAATCCATTGTGGTGGTGTATAGAGACAAAAATTTTAGAATTGTGTCAATGTCCCAATATTTATGGACCTGACTGTATCTCATGCAGTGCGGGAAAAAAAATTGCCCGGAGCTGGGGGTAGGATCCCCTAAGCATGCACATAATAGGAGGGAAAGGGGAGCACAGTTTGGCATCTTTGCCTTAGACGCTAGATGACCTTCACTGGATTCAGTGATTGGCGTTACAACCTTAGGTTCAGTGGTATAAATGCGAGTGATCATTCAACTAAGTTAAACTCATCATCCTACAAAGAAGTTGCTGTAGTACTGTGCTATGCCTCTATTCATCTTAGGTAGTGTCTTATGCGAAAGGTTTAAGAGTACAATTTAATTGCCTAAAACTGGCCATACTCTGTAAATATTCTCTTGTGCAACCCTGATGACTGAACAAGAGAAATCTATTGATTTGCAATTCATGCTAACAGTGTGGATGGAGGAATCTCCACAGCCAGCTATTGTATTCTGACAGCTATGATCCACAACTGTCAGAACACCGGCTGTATCTGAATGGATGCAGCTGCTGTCTGTCTGACGGTTTTCCATCTGGTTCCATTGATATTCAGATCAAAGGATATTGAGTGAGAGGGTGCCAACCCATGGCTTCAATCTTTAGCTGGTTCATCAGGAACAGGACTGAATTCATTCCATGCATGGTCAGCTTTAGTCAAATGTTAGAGTAGTAGCAGTTCCAGTTGTTACAGCCTGTTATGTTGATGTTCATTTTAGTTTTGAGAACTAAGGAAGACTTTGATGCCTCTTGTTCAGCACATTTTTTATTCAAACGTATTTCCATTTTGTTAACTTATACTATTTTTGTGTTGCCAGACAATCCTGATGTACATGTTCCCAAGTCAGGGTCTCCCAAAAAGCAAAGGAGAAAGAAAGGAGAAACCAAAGAAAAAACTGAAGATCAGAATACTGAAGATGTGTCCATGAATAAGGAACCTGATGAAAGTGGGTCTGAGGCCTTTTTTTGAGTGCTCACTAATTTTGGTCATATACACATTGATCTGACTGTTTGAAAAACCAATTGTTCAGTATTTGCATCCAATATAGCAGTTCTCAATAGTTTTTCTACTTGAATTACATTTGACGAATTTTGTTGGATCAAATCAAAGATTAACCAGTTACTGACTGCGCTATAGCCAAAAAATGGCTACTGCGCAGTCAGCTAGTTCTGGGAGGGTGTCCATGGATGTCCTCCCAGAACCACACTCCCTGCGTGCCCTCTGGGGCAAGCACTGCATGTGATCTGTAATCTCTGTGTCCTTCAGATACAGCTGATCACATGACTAAGGATCGGGCTAATCACAGCCGCTTTTATAATGTGACCAGCTGTGCCCAATCACAGCTGATCACATGGTAAATAGGAAATACCGGTTATCGGCAGTCCTCCCCTCATGATGACAGGGGAGGAGAGGAGAGCCGGTACGCGGCATTTCGCAGGGGGACATCTACACTGATCATCAGGGCACTGATCATCAGTGTCCTGGTGATCAGTGTAGCCCCATCAGTACAGCCAATAGTGCCCATGTGTGCTGGGAATCAGTGCCGCCTAACAGTGCCCATCAGTGACTCCTCATCCGTGCATCCTATCAGTGCCCATCAGTGAGAAAAATTACTCATTTACAAAATTTCTTAACAGAAAAGAAAAACTTTTTTTTTTTTTTTTCAAAATTTTTAGTCCTTTTTTGTTTAGCGAAAAATAAAAACCACGGTGGTGATTAAATACCACCAAAAGAAAGCTCTATTTGTCTCAAAAAAATTATAAAAATTTAGTTTGGGTACAGTGTTGCATGACCACACAATTGTCATTCAAAGTATGAGAGCGCTGAAAGCTGAAAATTGGTTTGGGACAGGGAGGGTGTAATAGTGCCCGATAGGCAAATGGTTAATTCTGATGATTTAATTTTTTTCTTACTTTTGTCAATACCAAAAAACTAGCATTTTCTGATAGGTCCAAAGTGATAGCCTCCATATTTCTCTCATAAGAGGTTCACTTTATAAAACCATATTTTCCTTGTAACCTAATGTAATAGTGGATAAGACAAATGTGTGGAAGTAAAAACCTGTTTTTTTTGTCAATCTTTTTCCTGCATAAGGGACAGTACTTTCATTCACTGAGATGTTTCCCTTGTGTTGTTGACTGCTATTTTAGTTTAAATCTGTCCTTTTTCCTCCTCCCATACCCCTGCAGCATCAGAAGATTACTGCATATAACAAATGGATTTGTGACATTATTCTGTTATTCATACCGGTACCTTTCTTTTTTTTCATGCACTGTAAAACCTTAAAAACCCAGATTGATATAAAACAAGCCCTCACTCACATTTGTAGCAATAGTCATTATGGAGAAATTCATCTTCCACAGGTGCTGAAATCATAGCCCTTACCTCTTATTTTCTGTAGAAAATGGCAGTCTTATCAGACTTTTAATGTAAACACAGAGCAGTGTTGTAAGCTAGACTTCATAGCCTCTGTTGTAATCTTTGAGGATTAATTGCTTTACAGTACCTGCAGGTATAGCGGGCAGAGATGGGTTGTTTAGTGCTTGTTAAAAATAGGTTGCCTTCACACCTGCATGTTGCGCTAGCATGTGCATTACCTTTACACCATGAGCACATTTGTGTATTGTGGTGCCATTTATTATTAAAGGTACCCCAGCACACTGAAGGAATGCACCTTTTAGCATGCGTTATAGTGCAATGCACAGGAAAGAATAGAGCAGGTGCCTTTTGTGATATGTTTGTGGTGCGTTGAAAACCAAATTGAATGAATGAGCTTCCTTTATGCAGCACATGACTTAACACAATATTAATGCACTGCCCCAAAATGCTGGAATGAGGTACACACAGGGGAGGGACACTAAGGTTGAAGACAAGACTGGTCACTGAGTTGTTTGAAGACTTTGGTGCATCATGTCATATTCATTTTCTGTACAAACATTTCCATCCCATTTACTTGTACTGTTCTTATGTTGCCAGATAAATCCATTGTAGATGGTATACCAAAATCAGGGCCTTCCAAGAAGCAGAGAACAAAAGAAGAAACTGCTGAGAAAACTGAAGGCCAGAATGCTGAAGTGTCCATGAATAAGGAACCTGATAAAAGTGAGCCTGAAGCCTTTTCAGGATGTTTACTAATGGCCATACACATATTGATCTGATTGTTTAAAGAAACAATCCTTTTCAATATGTGCATCAAATACAGCAATTCTCAATAGTTTTTCATTACTATTTTAATTACTTTTGACTAATTTTGTGGGATAGAATTGAAGATAACACATTATAGATGACTTGGAAAATGCCAGTAATTTTCAAACTTGTAATGCATGCTGACTCATTCTGAAATCTCAATTGTGGTTTTTCTTTACTTTTTCCAATGCCAGACAACTAGCATTTTTTGATGGGAGGTCTACAGAGACAGCCTCTTTATTTCTGTCATGACACAATTCATTTGAATCAAATGAAACGGCCTGTAAGGGGAATGTGTGGCGGATTGGCGATTTGTTAAATAGATTGTGGTTCTTGTATTAATATCAATTGGACATAAATTACTGAAATAAAACATATGAAGAAGCTTTACTAAAAATAAGTGACAACTGTTGCAAACACATATCCCCTTCAGTGCTGGTCACACTGACCAGATGCAGGAGTATTGGTCACATTGTTTGTGAAGAAGGAGGGATCAGGTAGAGTCACTAAACATGAGCTCCATCTACTGGCTTCAAATTTTAATACACAATAGATGTATTATTTCTTATTACCTGACTGGAAAAAAATTGAAGTTTACAGTATTTAAACCCTAACAAACTTTTTCTATTTGCTCCCATTTAGTCTTTTTTAAAAAGCTTTTTGTTGAAACCTGTTTGACGTGCAAAAAAAAGAAATACTAGTTGATTCTGCCAGAAATCTTGTGACCTGATAACTTTCTGTGCTTTCTGCTTGTGCTATTAGTTAACATTGTTCCTGTCTATCTTTTAGACTACAAAACTCCTCTCCCCCTATGCTATGGATAAGAAGAGAGGGGAGAACTATTCTGTAGTCCTGTCCTAGGGTGACAGTTCCATGGTTTATCCCCCTAACTGTTTGCCCCATTTGCATTTGATACTGGAAGAAGCTGAGACAGGAAGTAGAGAATGGTGGAGAAGGATCTGGGAGTTCTGGTAGATCACAAGCTTAATAATGGCATGCAATGCCAAGCTGCGGGTTCTAAAGCGAGCAAAATCCTCTCTTGTATTAAAAGAGGTATACGTTCCAGAGAGAGAGAGATATCATATTACAAATCATTAGAAATACCTCATCTGGAATATGCAGTTCAGTTTTGGGCACCAATTCACAAAAAGAACATTGGAGACCTTGAGAGAAATTACAGAGAAGGGTAACTAAACTGATAAGAGGCATGGAGGAGATCAGCTGTGAGGAAAGATTAGAGGAACTGAATTTATTATCTCTTGAGAAGAGGAGATTAAGGGGGGATATGATGAACATGTATAAATACATCAGTGATTCATATAGTGAACTCGGTGTGGAGCTATTCACCCTGAGGTCATCACAAAGGACAAGGGGGCACTCTTTACGTCTGGAGAAGAAATTTAATCTCCATACACAGAAATTTTTCTTCACAGCGAGAGCTGTGAAAATGTGGAATAGACTCCCTCGAGTTGGTTCTGGCAAGCTCAGTGGATTGCTTAAAAAAAGGCCTGGATTGTTTCTGAGATACACAGAATATAACTGGATACTAACATTTATAGGTAAAGTTGATCCAGGGAATATCCGATTGCCTCTCTGGGGATCAGGAAGGAATTTTGTTCCCAGCAGGAGCAAATTGGATCATGCTTTGCTGGGTTTTTCTGCCTTCCTCTGGATCAACTGTGGGTATAGGATTATAACTTTTTTTTTTTTTTTCTTCTATTGTTGAATTGGATGGACTTTTTTGTCTTTTATCAGCCAGACTAACTATGTAACTATGGAGCCAGTTTAGCAATGTTAGACTGTGGGTCCTTTGAACTGTGCATCTACCATGTAGTGAGCTGACACAAGCCACTGTTCTTGTTACCTGGTGTCTTTTAATGAATTATTTCACGTTTACCAAGTTAAATACTAATACTGTTTTAAACATTATTTTTGCACAAATGTTAAATTGCTAAATCCCAAAGGTAATATCAATTCTGTGGATAACGTTTTGGAAGGTGTTTAATTCTAATTTTCTCCAAGATGAAATTCTTGGTCTCATAGAAGATTTATTAATCAGGATTTATTTAATAATGCATAATTATGTGCAAATCTCAACATCTCTCATAAAAGTTGAGCTTTTACCTGCCCTTCTGTTCATCACTATTAGTAAGCGAGGCTTCCAATCACATTAAGAGCTTGTGTCATTGGACTTTTGTTTTCTCCAAATTGATTTTGCATTCCCATACAAGTCTTTGGGAATGCAAAACTCACTTAAAGCAGGTCAAGTGCCAATAGGGAGGCTTATTATGCAGGGACTGGGGCCTTTTTTTTTTTTTACAGAAAACATCACTTTTATATATAACTTCAGCTGCATATGTTTCTGGATCAATTGTAACAACTTGCAGTGTTCTCTAAATGTCATCTCCATATGCAGTATTGGTATTAGAAATTATAGATGCTTATAACCAGTGGTGTGGTATGGTGTATAAACTGGCACTTTTTTTCAGACTGCACCTGTGTTTTTTTGTCCAATAGGCTGTATGGGGTTTTGATGAAAAGTATAAATGTGTTTTGTAGCTGTATAGAAGTGGGTAGGAATCTTTTGAAAATGTTACTATCTACTAAATTGTTACTGTTTCCACATCAGAACTTCAGAAGAAGCAGAGGAGAAAGAAAGAAGAAACTTTGAAAGAGAATACTGAAGACATAGCTATAAATGAGGATTCAGGCAAATGTGAGTCTCTTAAACCAATATTGCCCTCCACCTCTAACTGAGAGGTCTATATATAAAATCGAAGGAAATTAATTTGGGAAAAAAGCATTGTTGCAACGACAATTCAGTTTTCATCTCTTATTACCTGGGAATCTGAATTTGGTTACTATGGATAGCAGTTCCATTTTTATCTGCATTTTCTCATGTTTTTATAAATAGAGCCCAAAGGTGCAAGTTACTGGAGGCAGCAGGACAGATCTGTTATTGTGTGTTTGTTGGGAGGAAGTTGCCACAAACTGTGTTTGGGAGATAAGAAAAATTGTCCTAAACTTTTTACAGGGTATGATGGTGTGTAGAGTTTAAAGCTGATATCCAGCAAAAACAATAAAATAACCATGCCCCTTTTAAAGGAGAACTTACCTCCCAAAAGGGGGTTATTCCCTTTTAATACCCCCCTCCCCATGCAGAATTGTGGGTATTTTTTTTTAATTAAATTTTTTTGTCCCCACCGCCCTGCTACCATTATTGCTTAGGCCAGAAGACATGCCCCTGGTCCTGTAGCTTCCTGGGATACTTGCATCACATCTCACAGGAGGATGCAGGATAGGGTACACAGGGTGGGCCAGAGCGCAGGCCCTGTGTATCATCAGCAGCCGGCTGCCTCCACCTAAAAGAGACAAGTAGTTAAAGGGGGAACAAGATTGTAGTGCAGGACCTGATGTATGTCACTCAAACAGCTGATCGCAGCAGGACAATGCTGGAGTCGCTGTGCCAGTGAATACAGCAATACAGGTAAGAGGAAATAAAACATGATGGGGGAGGGGAGCTGAGTACCGCTAAGATTGCACAGAGCTGACCACATATCAATTAAGCAGGTTTTCCCTTAATTTAATAGTTTCTTTGAAATCAAATAATTTTACCACGTTTCTTCCAACTGGTGGCCCATGGGCCACACATAGCTTGAGCTGGCTTCTATGTTTCTTGCAGCAGATTCTTAGTGCCTCTCTTTCTGATTACTTGTTGCATGACACCATGCAAAGATTGCTTCTTTTATATATTTTTATTAAAATGATGCATGTAATTAATAGGTAAGTGCTTTTTTTATGCTTCTCCAACTTGATTGCCTCATACCCCACCCCCACCCTGTCTCTCTCCCAGAAGCTTCCTTACGGCACTTGTACAGCTGTTATCACTGACTTCTGTAAAGAACCTGTCCATAGCAGCCTATGACTACGCACATGCAGAGTATGTCATCTCCTGGGAAAGATATGAATTCCAGTGTGCCAGCAAGGCCCAAGCATCAGAATCTAGTTTTTGTCTGATATGAGGAGTATTGAGAGGTTTTGAGGGGCATTTAATATATAGAGGGGATACAAAGTGTTTACTATATAGAGAGCATGAGGAGGGTTTTCTGTATAGCTTGCATGGAGAGAGCAGGTAGTTAGGATGAGTGAAAAAGTTTTTAGTGATGCACTTTATTGGCTAGTTTAAGTTATCGGAATTAAAAATTATCCATAGCCCTGTCTGAATAGACTCAACAAACTTTAGCAAATAACCACCCAAAAACTATAATGAAATAAATATGTAATAACAAATACAGAAACTAATAATTGATTTCATTATTAAGCATATTTGTTAGTACAAATGCCCATATAATTGTCTGTAATGATTAAAAACTATAGTAACAAATTATAATAAAAAACCCTGCAGCATTCACTAGATACATACAATGAAAACCAGAGCAAGGCAGCTTTATCATGCTGTTATCTGATATGACTGTAGTGTACTTGGTTTTATTGTGCTGATCTATTTTTGTGCTTAAATGTTTGCATACCCTTGGAACATTGGAAATACACAGTATGTACCATTTTTAAAGAAAACATTAAGTGAGCAGGCAAAACACATTTCTTTTATTTCTTATGGGATTCACATTCAGCTGTAAGTCATAACAAAATAGCACAATCCTAAAACAAAACATGGCAACAAGTTAACAAATTAAATGACCCCTGTTCAAAAGTCTGCATACCCTTAGTTCTTAATACTGTGTATTGCCCCCTTTAGCATCAATGACAGCGTGTAGTTTTTTGTGTAATAGTTGTCTATGAGGCCCCGAATTCTTACAAGTGGTATAGCTTCCTATTTCAGTTACAAGACTACTGCAATTCTTTGCATATCTTAAATCTATGCATATACTGTGGCTCTTAAAGGATAAGTTTAACTTTGGAACATGTTACATGTTGTTCTACCCGTTTTTTTAGGATGGAATATGTAATATGTTCCATCATCTGCAGCCTAACCTGTGACAATGGGCAGGGGATCTTATCCTCGCAGCTGCTGTTACAGTTTGAAAATAGTGCAGCCGTGTGGGTACAATGCTCTGCAGGCTCCTTAGTAAAAAAAATATATAAATGCGCATTTTTTTGCTTGAAAAAAAAATGTGCTTTTATTATTACATTTTTTTTTTTCCCAAAAGGTGAACCTATCCTTTAATGTAAACCCAGAAGACTGCCCCATTTCATGCATCATATTTAATACACATAATCTCCATGTGGTGATCCCTGGTCTTGTTGCACCCTAACCTTATACACATTAGTAAAATATACCTTAGTGACAAAGTGCAATGGCTAATAAATGTTTGTCACCTAATGTATAACAATAGTGTTATTGCTGCAAACTAGAGATCACCCAACTCAATGTGTTTCTCAGGTACAATATTCTCTGCTGCCTCAGGCTTTTTGCAGGAGATCTGAAATAGATCTTAAACGGTACAACAAACAACACACTGATCGTAATAATGTATTACATATGCAGTTATTCTCGTATTTCTTTCTTATGTTAAACAAAATAAGTATCTATATGTAAAATAGTAGCTGTTCATCATAGAGCCAATAAGGAATCAATGGGAGCCAATTCAGGGAACCAGAGGCACAATCCCATAAGATCAACTGATTCTACAGCATGATATATAGTCAGTTAATGATTTCTATTTACAGAGTCTCACCAAAATAATAAGGTCGTACTGGGATAATGACTTTCATAAGAGGTCCAGACTGTTACAGCTCTGTCAGCTGTTTCTCAGGAGGAATATGCAGGCTGCCATTGCTTACTTTCTTTCAACAGTACTAGTAGCCTGGCTTTCCCTGGCTACGAGTACAATCTCCTAATACATAAAAAACATAAAATTATATGTATGAGCAATAAAATCAAGTAATAAAATACTCTCTACTGGATTGGTATATAAGCTAGCCTAAATATACTGTATATGCGCACTATTATATGATATACAAGGTATATGCGAAGGCATGCTTGTCCAAATCCAGGTACCAGTACAATCCAGGAGATTGTACTTGTAATAAACTTTACTTGGTTTTACTCATGTCTCTTGATGTTCTTCTCCAGTTGATCTTCTTTTGTTGTAATTGTTTGGATGTGGCTCTCTGAAAGTCTCTAGTTTTGGAATATCAATTGTATAATGTTGTATGAGTGAGTTGGTCAAACTTCCAACTGGCAGCCTTGCATTTTTCTTCTGTGGATAATTTAGCTTTTGATGTGCACAAGGTCACCACTCCCCTGGTTGCGTGAGCCTTTTTCAGTTAGAAGACATACTGTAAGCCCTTCCCGGGTTTAAGCATACTTTAATATCTTTGGAATCCAGAAAGTGATAAGTCTCTTGTTAAAGTATAATTATTCACTCAAACCAAAAGTGTGTGACCTTGCTACTATTTCAGATACCATGCTATTTTAGTGGGATATCATTAATATTCCGATTCTTCCTTTGATTCTACCGCTGTAACATTCACATCACATTGCACCCAGACAGCATGTAAAAAAAGATACTTAGCATTCTAAATAGCATTATACCGTTAAAACAACCTTTTATTAAAAAAGGGTTAATTTGTTTGACCTCTGGGCTGCTGCAACTAAAGTGTCACAAGTGTATCAAGCATCTCTCCACCGACCCAGTACTTCTACATAACATTTCACCTCTACTCAGCTCCAGAGCACTTCACTTGAAAGCTGTCAGAATGTCAGGACCAGTCTATATGCATCACTTACTGCCTCGATGGGACAACAAATGAGAAGTGACATACATATGGGCGAACCACTTCAGAATCCGATGAGTGGCCATCCCAGGGCCTGGACTGCTGATGATGGGTCCGGCTGAACATTCTGAAATCGGTTGTTTAATCTCTGTGTGATGACCAACTAGCTTGAATAAACATCTGCATGATGTCTGCAATAGCTTGATATATGTAATATTTCACCACTTACAGCTCTGCCTCTATATCTCTAGTCGTCTATGGAAGGATTTCTGTACAGACCATCTTTGCTGGCAACATGCACTAATGCGATGATGGTATGGAATAGATGGTTTCTAGACCTATGCTATAAAAGTATAGTATAAGCAGACAGATTAGTAGAAGGAAGCAAACTCTTATAGCTAGAAAAATGTTATCACCAGATACATGGGAACAAACCTGTTAGAAGGGTAGAAGGGCAAGCAGTGCTACACAACCTCTCTGGAACAGATGTCTCAACAACAAGGGAGTAGTATTTAAAGGAACCGTTGGCATGCTATGATACTTCTGGGAACACGTGTAGTCTTCCAGCAATGCTGACATAAGGGCAATTGACTCCATGTATAAACCTGTGCAGTTGCTAGCAACCATATAAGCCAGCAGAAGTTCACATTTCTGAACACAGTCCAGAGCTTTCACTGGAAAAGAGTAGAGGGGAACATTAACAAGAAGATAAGCAAGGTAACAAAGAACAGAGATAATGTCCTCTAGCATATCAGGCAATTTTATGCCATTGAGAAGGGAAAAAAAAACAGACCCTGGTGCTTAAAGTGGTATTTAAACTCAAAACCAAAAAATTAATATTTTGCAGCTTATCAGTCATTAGATGTGGTAGCTGCATTAGTTTTCTCTTTTCCCCTCTGTTTTCACCTGGTGATCTGGCCAGTGACACATCACCTATATTAAAGTGCCTCCATTCTGGATGAAGGAGCAGAGGGGCACTTTTGGACAGCAGCATTGTCAGTCTGGGGGGAGAGGAGTGTTAGATGTACTAGCATATTAAATACACTAAAAATAATTTCTGTATTTCTTCGTAAAAATACTTTTTGTGGAGTCCATTGAGGGACAAATGTCCTACCCCTCTGTGTTTATGATCATGCTCTTGGTACTGCTTTGTACAGAACTGAGGCATGCTGTTAGTAGGAGGGGATAGCTTGGGCTGGCCTACGGGGACTTTTTTTTTTTTTTTTTTTTTGTCAGTGTGCAATACACCTGTAGACGGCAGTATAACATGAAGGGGAAAGACATCTTGTGGCCCTCAATAGACTCCAAGAGAAAGAGTTTGCTGTGACTACAAAAAAAATATTTCATTTACTAAAATTGGTGCAGAACCTACAACCCCAATTCCAAAAATGTTGGGATGCTGTGTAAAATTTACATAAAAACAGAATGCAATGATTTGCAGTTCTCATAAATCTATATTTTATTCACAATAGAAAACATATCAAATGTTTTAACTGAGAAAATTTACCATTTTAATAGAAAAATATTAAGTAATTTTTAAATTGATGGCAGCAACACATCTCAAAAATAATTGGGACAGGGAAACAAGCTGGCAAAGTAAATGGTACTAACAAGAAGGAGCTGGAAGAACATGTTTCAGCTAATTAGGTTAATTGGCAACAGGTCACTAAGATGATTGAGTATAAAAGGAGCATCGTAGAGAGTCCACGGTCTCAGAAGTAAAGATGGGAAAAGGTTCACCAATCTGTGAAAAGCTGCATCTTAAATTGTTGAACAATTTCAGAATAATGTCCTTCAATGTAAAATTGCAAATACTTTAAATATATCATGTACAGTACATATTATCAAAAAATTCAGAGAAACTGGAGGAATCTCTGTGCGCAAGGGACAAGGCCAAAATGCAATATTTGATGCCCTTGATCTTCTGGTCCTCAGATGGCACTGCATTAAAAACAGGTGTGATTCTGTGATGGACATCACTGCATAGGCTCAGGAATCTTTTTCTTGGGGTCTATTGAGGGCCACAAGATGTCTTTCACCTTCAGGAATATTTTGCCATCCAAAAATGCAAAAAGCTCTATCATGCAAAGAATATGCTATATCTATATGGTTTGTTGCACAGTGGAAAATTGTTCTGTGGTCAGATGCATCAACATTTGACATTGATTTTGAATCCATGGGTGCCATGTCCTCCAGACTAAAGAGAAGGACCTTGTTATCATCGCTCAGTTCAAAAACCTGCATCTCTAATGGTATGGAGGTGCGGATGGAATGGGCAGCTTTCACATCTGGAAAGGCACCAAAAATGCCTGTATATCCAGGTTTTAGATATTTACAGAGTATTGTTAAAAGAAAAAGAGTTAAAAGAAGGGAAGCTACACTGTGGTGAACATAACCCTGTCCCATTTTTTTTTTGAGAGGTGTTGCTGCCATCAGTTTCAAATTTACCTTTTTTTTTCTTAAAATGGTACATTTTCTGAGTTTAAACATTTGATATATTTTCTATATTGAATAAAATATGGGTTTATATTTCCAAATCATTGAATTTTGTTTTAATGTAGATTTTACACAGCACCCCAACTTTTTTGTAATTGGAGAGGCAAAGATTGCTAGGTCATTCTGAAAATGTCTCTTGATTTTTCAGAAAGAACTCTCCCACATCCTAAATCTTAGTAGCAAAGACTGTCCCTGAAGTACTAACCTTGGAAATACCTTTTGGTGGTAATACTTTAGTGACAAATAATAGTAGGTGGAGATCCTCCTGCGCTGCTAAGAGTGAAGGAATAATGATATAAGCAGCCAACACCCTATCCTATACCTAAATCAGGACAATGCAATATAATAATCAGAATGGTGCAGCACTATTTTTACACATACAAATAATTATAAAATCAGTGGATACAGATCAATAAACATAAACGCATATACAGTTATAAAACCTACAGAAGCGTAAGATCTGCCAGGATCTATTAGGTGCTAAAATGTACAGAAGAAAAACATGCAGTCCAATAGGACCCAAACGCTTGACTTAAAGCTGTCCCTCACTGGGATCAATCCCCAATTTTCAAGTGTGATATGCACAAAAAAAAGAAAGTGGGTCCCTATACATGGATATATATTGCAAACAACAAGTGCTCAGTGTACCTTTCACATTTGTTATACATCAAGTGTGAAACATAAATGTCCATATAGTACCATCATACATGCTAATGGCAAGAGTAACACAATAATTTTCTCCTTATACGGGGGCTCCAGTGTTCGTGCAAGCGGTGACTGTAAATCCTAAACGGCCAGCATGCCCGCTCACCTTCCTGCTGCGACCATACAAGGGTCAAAACACTTTTCGGATCTCCCTGGATCCTGCCCACAATCTCCAGGTAGCTAAGATATCACAGCCCTTTATTGGTCTCTCCTTCCCTTCCAGCTCCTCTTCCATGTGCAGGTGACCATAGGCTTTAGGGACACTTTCTATTGATAGTGTCTCTGGTTTCAATAGCTTAACATGGTATGTTTGAAAGAGCTTTTTTTTTTAAGGCTTTAGGTAGTTGATATCACTGATTTTCTCTCTGATCTCATAGGGTCCCTGACACTGCCAGAAACGTATTCTTTATTAATAGACTTCAAAACATATGCTCCATCTACTGGGTTAAAGGTCCTGATTTTAGCAGTGTGGCTGCCAATAGCCTGTCCTGCATCTGAGGAGTGTGTATTGATAACAATTGCAAAGTGTGACCTCTTGCTCCAATGGTCAGGGGCTATATCCAGGAGCATCCAGGTACAGCTACCTTACAAAAGTTCATTTTGGGTAGACCCAGCAAAGGACTGTAGCAATTCCCTGATTTAAAAAATTTAATTTGGTAACTGGAAGTCCCAGTATTTTCCTTCCTTATCAGTAACTAGCAGAGGCTGCTCTAGGCTTTGTGAGACAAAACTTAGACCTGAGGCCACACTTACGCCCATCCATCTGTCAGCTACCCAGCAGGCCTTCCCAGATTGAGATCCTTGGTAGGCCTTCTCAGCTTGAGATCCTCGTGAGGTGAATGAGATGGGTGACATGCATGGACGCAATGTCACTCCTCATTGACTGGCAGGCGAAGCTCCAGAAATCATAGGCTATGCAGGAGGTGAGTGTGACAGGGCTCCTAACGCTGCCTGCACACAGCAGCGTTAAGGTCCCCTGTCCCTCAAAACTGGGGTAATGAGTTAGGCCAAAGGCATAACTAGAACCTTCGGGGCCCTGATGCAAAAAAACATGAAGAGCCCCCCGACCCAGCCCCGGAGCCCTTCCTTCCTAGTCTGGGGACCTTTACTCCAATTGAGGGGCCCTTTATTACTGTTCCGCAGTGGAACCCTTTTGCAAGTTTTGCAGCGGGTCCTCTTCCTGCCGTTACAGTAGAATCCCCCCTTACATCTCAGTGTTCCCAGAGCCCCCTTTACATCAGAGTTCCCCTCTACAGTACATCCAAGTCTACAGGGTTTGCCTTTTTAAGGACCCTGATGTAAAGGGGAACTCTGCGGAACCTAATGTAAAGGGGAACTCTGTGGAACCAGATGTAAGGGAGAATGTTGCGTAAACTCTAATGTAAGAGGGTCTCTGGTCACCAAAGCCCCCACTGCATCAGAGTTTGCAGAGTTCCACCTTACCTCTGAATCCACAAACTTTCCACTTGCACTGTAAGGGTGAACTCTGCTTTTTTGTGAGGGAGGGGTTTGCGTCACAGTTCCCCTTTACACCAGAATCTGCAGAGTGAATACACTAAGGTAAGGGGTTCACTGATGTAATAATGGGGAGAGTACACTGATCAGCCAGTTCCGGAACTGCACACTTGCGCAGTACTGGGGCCGGACAACTGTTAACTGGCTGAGCTTGGCTCGGGCAGAAGGATGGGCTGCCACTGGTCAGGTGTGCAAGTAGGGGAGCGCGGGGGGCAGCGGAAGATCGGGACAAGTGGGGTTTCTATGGGTACTTTTCTGCTGCTTAAAGACAGTAGAAAAGTGGCCTTTTTTTACTGGCAACACTGCTTGGGGCAGTTAGGCAAACTAGGCGGCCGCTAGGCCGTAGGCGACCACCTAATTTGCCTAACTAAAGAGCCACTTCTGGTAACTAGAATACCTTTCAGGGTTCTGCTGAACTTTTCTACTAGCACATCAGTTTGGGGATGGTACAGTGAGTTGCTTAGGTGAGTAATTTCCTTAGGAATACCTTTATCAGAAAATGTGGAAGCGCTTAGTTGCATGCTGGCCTGATGTAGTTGTTTTTTTTTTTCTTTTTTTCTGTCAGGAAAGGGACTTCACAATATTAAAACTATTTAACCTGTATTTTATGTTAGCCAACAGGGCTAAAATATCTAGGAGAAAGAAAAATGAGACAAAAAAATCTAAGAATGAAATGAAAGTTAAAGAAAGTATTGAAGTCCCGGATCTCATACCAAGACGTCTACAGCTTTGCTCAACTTCCCAAAAGTATGTTGGAGCGCATGTTTCCATTCAAGGTATATTTAGAAATATTTTTTTTTCAGCTGTGCTGCTGTTCTTGTGTGTTTTACTAGTGACATATTGATAAGGGGAGAGAGCAAAGTGACAGAAAGATGAGGTCATCAGTTCTTCTGTTTTCACTTTTCAATCACAGAATGGGGAGCAAACAATACCTTTAGTTGTTACTTACCTACAGCAGAGAAAAATAGGTCTCCTGCCCTTCCAGACAGGATTGTGCTGTTTGCCAGAGCTGTGTAAATCTCAGGACTGGATTTACAGAAATATAAAATCCTATAGAAGGTATCACAGACCTTCTGCATTATATGTATTTTGTCTGTGTGCTCCTGTTTGTGTGTCTGGAGTTAAGCAATAATTGCAGTAGAGGAAATCTAGGTCACCAACCTGGTTCTGGTAGGGATGTGTAAAGTGGAATTGACTGATACACAAATCCATTGGCAGGTAAAGGGCTCCCATATACCTGGGGTATATTCATTGTGTATTTAACTGTTTGCCAGGAGTTCATATTTAATATAGGCTGATGCGTTTGCTTAATTCATTTTGCAGGAGGTCTGTGGAATGCTGCATTGGAGGCGGGTCGCATTGGTGCAAAGGCATTTGGTCTGTTTCTGAGGTCACAGAGGACATGGAGCTGCAAGCCTCTAGAGAAAAGTGCTGCTGAGAAATTTAGAAGAACTTGTAAAGAGTTTGGGTTTGACTCTCGCTTTATACTGCCCCATAGTCCTTATCTCATGAATCTGGGCTCACCAAAACCAGGTATAGGTGTTTTGCTTTGCTTTACAAATGAAAAACTGACCATTAAACATGTTCCACTGTTCAATTCTGTTATTTACTCTAAAGAAAAAAAGCAATGTGAGTTTTTCCATCGGTCTCCACAGAAAGGGTTAAAATGATGAGGTGTTGAGTGCTGCACTACTAGGTGGGGTATCACAAGCAAGCAGGTAGCTTGACATAGCATCTTTCTGCCATTGCATTGCTTCCTATTTTTAATATACACGTGGTTTCACCTCGGTTGATGCCACCTACAGAGACCTGGTCTTCTCCAGCAATTTGAACTACTTTTGCTCTTTACAATTGGTTCTAAATACCCAAGGTCTTATCTGATATACTGTACCCAGCTAAGTTGTTTCTATTGTGATACAACATATTGGATCACAAATATAAGGGGAGCAGCCTCGCTGATCCGGGTCTCTCTAGCTCTCAATCCACTGATAGTTCCACGGTGGCCTACAGTGTTTCCTTTTCAAGGACCTGAAACTGACTGCCTGGAACATTGTCCCCTGCTTGGATTCTTCCACTCCTTGGCTCCGTTGAGTATCCACAAAGCACTTTTAATTGCTGACTCGGAGCACACAATACATAAATCACCATCTCAGCACCATTTCTTGCAGAATCTTTACCCGATCTGCCGGTAGGCTAGTGGCTTCTGAGCCTTCGGTTGCAGAGACTCTTATGAAGAGTCTCAAAAATCCTTGCAGGATGATGTTGTTCCTGAGGACTCGCAGGCAGCCAGCATAACTTTCAGGATTAGAGAGACCATTTTGGCTTCTATTAATGCAGCTCATATCAACTTAAAGATGGAGGTGCAGCCTGTGGCTTCTACTAGTACTGCTATCCGTTTAGGGCACATTCTATATCCAGAAGTTTTGTACGCTGACTGGAAACCTGTTAACCTGCTTACGCCTCCCATTTTGAAGTCCATTGCCTATTTGAGGGGCCCTTTTTAGGAAGTAGGGGTTCCCATGGTTGATTGGGTAGTTTTCTATCTTAATAAAGCCCTGACAATCACTGTGGAGGATGCACCAGTGATTAGGGGTCCTATAGAAAAATGGCAGAAGTCATTTTCCAAAACTGACAGGCCCTGCATTGCAACCTGCCACGGTTATGCTGTTCGTCTGTCAAAATTTAGGGGAATGAACAAATCTCATGACAGTGGATCCAGCTTGATTGCACACTACTCCTTTTATTTGTTTTGCATTTAGAGTCTATTACGACAGCCCCGCACTACTGTGTAGACAGACTAGTTGATGTCTCTCATCTTGTTTCCTTTGTGTCTCCAGTCAATAAATGTGCGGAGAACTCTTAGGTTAAAATTTAAAAAGCATTTCCTTGCACATGCCCCTTCGAAGGTAAACATTACTTCAGAGCTGCTTTGGATATCCTCACCAATAATGTTACTGGAAGAAAGTCATCTACCCCCTCAAAAGAAGCCTAGACCACAAGCTGAAAAGAATCACCTCTCCTTTGGCATGACGAGGCACACTCACTTTCCAAAGTTGGGATTTGTTAACCTTTGCAGAAATTTAGACAGACAGCATCTAAAATGCTTGGGCACACAAGATGGTCTCAACAGGCTACAATCTAGTGTTTCACTCTGAAGCTTCTTGCTTCATGTCTTTAAACCTTCCTCTGTCAATGCTCAGATTAGCAGACGTCCATGCAGCCCTTGCAGGCCTTCTGAAACGGGATAATTGCCCCAGATCCTGTTTCAGAAAGGTTCAGGGATTTTATTCCAATCTTTTCACAGTTTCCAAACCAAAATGGGGCATCTGCCTTATTTTTGATCTCAGGGCTCCAAATGTCTTTCTTTGGTTCTGAAAATTCCATATGAAACCCACGAGGTCTGTTATAGCTTCCCTTCAGCATAGAGACTTTCAATCCTCTGTAGACAACCAGATCATACAGTATACTTGCATGTTTCTAATTTTCCAGCACATCAGCGATGTCTTTTTCTTTTCTTTGGTTACTCAACTATTCCAGTTTGTGGCCCTGCCATTCAGTCTATCTTCCACACTCTGTGTATTCATCAAGATTTTAGCCCCTGTGCTTACCTTACTTTGCCCTCAAGGCATCCCCCTGGGCAAGCTTCTGTTGAGGGAACAGTCAGCAGAGACCCTGACCAACAATGTGGACCAGTGGGTTCAGGCCTTGAAAAAGTTTGAATGAATCCTGAATCATTTGAAATCTGTGTTGGAACCAGCTAATCACATGGAGTATCTGGGTCTGATTATGGACACAGCTCATGATAGAATTTTCCTCTCCCAAGAAAAACTTTGAATGCTTGGTTTCCATATTCATACTCTTTTGTCCATGAGTTGACCAACTCTACTTTTTGCATAAGAATCATGGGGCTGATAGTGGCCTTCTTTGAGGCAGTTCCTTTTTTCCTTTTGCCCAGTTTAATTCCACACCCCTTCAGCTCTCAACATTCTGTAATTGTCTGGATATCTCTGGCTTGGTGGCTTAGTAATCCAGCTGTGGAGTTGTGGCATTTCCTCTGATCTTTTGAAGGCTTGTCGTATTGAACGTCAGCCTTACAGGCTGGTGGAGAGATGATAAAGATGCAGAAGATTTGACTCTGGAAGAATATTGACTCTCTGTTAATATTTGAGATATCTCAGCTGGAGGGTCTCTCAATCAGAATACAGTTGTGATATCTTGGCAGTGACATACTTCAGCCAACAGGGAGGAACCAAATGTCTTGCTGCAGGAAGAGAAGTTGGAAAGATTTTGCACTACGAAGTACTTTCCATCATTGTTCACTGTTCACATTCCAGGCCATATACAGAGATCCTCTGTCAGAAGCAGCAGATGCTCTGATTGTTTTGTGGCAACAAAACAGCCTGTTCAACATCTTTCCTCCCCTGAAACCCTTCTATCATCTCCACAGGATCAAGATGGAAGACATTCAGGTAATAATCATAGTGTCAGGGCTCCCGGGTGTGACCAGAGGTATGTGACTGACGCAGGGAAACGCAGACTTCAGATATGTTATAAACAATATAATTTATTAACACTAACAATACAAACATAAACGCAGGCGGGGCGACAGGCGCCGGGCCCCCCGGCGGGGCGACAGGCATCGGGCCCCCAAGCAGAGCGGCGGGCGCCGGGCCCCCAGGAGGGGCGACAGGCATCGGGCCCCCAGGCGGAGCGACAGGCATCGGGCCCCCAGGCGGGAGCGACGGGCATCGGGCCCCCAGGCGGAGCGCGGGCCTCGGGCCCCCAGGCGGAGCGACGGGCCTCGGGCCCCCAGGCGGGGCGACGGGCCTCGGGCCCCCAGGCGGGGCGACGGGTCTCGGGCCCCCAGGCGGGGCGACGGGTCTCGGGCCCCCAGGCGGGGCGACGGGCCTCGGGCCCCCAGGCGGGGCGACGGGTCTCGGGCCCCCAGGCGGAGTGACAGGCATCGTCCCCAGGAGGGGCGACAGGCCTCGGGCCCCCAGGCGGAGCGACAGGCCTCGGGCCCCCAGGCGGAGCGGCGGGCTCCGAGTCACCAGGCGGAGCGGCGGGCTCCGAGTCACCAGGCACGACAGTGGGCTCCGAGTCAACTGGCAAGACAGCGGGCACCGAGCCAACTAGCGGAACAGCGGGCTTCGAGTCGTCTGGCAAGACTGCGAGCACCGAGTCGTCTGGCAAGACTGCGGGCACCGAGTCACCTGGCGGAACAGCGGGCATCGAGTCAACTGGCGGAACAGCGGGCACCGAGTCGTCTGGCAAGACTGCGGGCACCGAGTCGTCTGGCAAGACTGCGGGCACCGAGTCGTCTGGCAAGACTGCGGGCACCGAGTCGTCTGGCAAGACTGCGGGCACCGAGTCGTCTGGCAAGACTGCGGGCACCGAGTCGTCTGGCAAGACTGCGGGCACCGAGTCGTCTGGCAAGACTGCGGGCACCGAGTCGTCTGGCAAGACTGCGGGCACCGAGTCGTCTGGCGGAACAGCGGGCTTCGAGTCGTCTGGCAAGACTGCGGGCACCGAGTCGTCTGGCAAGACTGCGGGCACCGAGTCGTCTGGCAAGACTGCGGGCACCGAGTCGTCTGGCAAGACTGCGGGCACGAGTCGTCTGGCAAGACTGCGGGCACCGAGTCGTCTGGCGGAACAGCGGGCTTCGAGTCGTCGTCTGGCAAGACTGCGGGCACCGAGTCGTCTGGCGGAACAGCGGGCATTGAGTCAACTGGCGGAACAGCGGGCACCGAGTCGTCTGGCAAGACTGCGGGCACCAAGTCGTCTGTCAAGACTGCGGGCACCGAGTCGTCTGGCATTGGATCGTCTGGCTTGACAGCGGGCATCGGGTCACCAGGTATGACAGCGGGCACTGGGTCACCAGGCATCAGGTCATTTGGCTCGCCAGCGGGCACCGCGTCATCTGGCAAGGCAGTGGGCACCGAGTCACCAGGTACAACAGCGGGCTCAGAGTCAATTGGCACGACAGCGGGCACCGGATCAGGTACCGGATCATCTGGATCAACAGCGGGCATCGAGTCAACTGGCCTAATAGGATCATCAGGCTGGATCAGTTCATTATGCTGGGTAGAGGCATCCGGCTGAGTAGAGGCATCCGGCTGAGTAGAGGCATCCGGCTGAGTAGAGGCATCCGGCTGAGTAGAGGCTTCAGGCTGAGTAGAGGCTTCAGGCTGAGTAGAGGCTTCAGGCTGAACCACGGAAGGCAGGTTCTCAGATGGCAGGCTCACCGGTTTGGATACTGGCAGGATGGTATTGGTTGGAAAGAATTTTCGCTTTTTTCTGGTTTTTAACTACTGGAGCACTGCAAGTAAACGCAGGTCTGCAAACGAATGGAGCAGCTGGAGACAGAGAAGAGCTGGAGGATGGAACAGAGGAGGGAGCAGTTGCTACAGAGGGCTTTTTTACAGGGTTAAAGGCAGGATAGGTGCAGCGAGTGGGAACAGGGTACTGACATGCGGTAGATAGCAGGGCAGGAGGAGCTGTTGGGAATGCAGGAATAGAGCTTTGAGGAAATA